AAAAAAACTCAAACAGATGACGAGACTTGTATCGGCAAGAAACTCACCAACTCCCTGGCCCCTCGTTCCCAGCTGCTGGCTTCCGGTTCAAGTAACGAATTACTGCATCTTCGACCCTGCAACATTTTATTAATCAGAAACGTATCATCAATCAATCAGTGGAATTCCTCCCCTTTCACAACTCTAATACATACAATCCAAGCAGTTAAAGACACTAGAAACCAGAGTGAGCAATGATGATGAGCTTACCAAGGTTGGTTGAAGAAGTCTGATCGACGTTCTCTCTCAGCATTTCGACTGGCTTCTCCCGCTACGACCTTAAGATCCTTGCTCTGAGATTCGATCAGGGCGTTTATGAATTCAACTGGCGATTGGCTGAACCCCAAGAAAAATGCCCTCCTCCTCCTATGCTCATGGATTTTCCTTATGGCTGCACATATTGCTTCATCACAAGCCTCAATCTCTTTGTTCTTCTCTGCGTTGGCCAGCAAATTGTTCAGATCCCTTTGGATTGGGAAGGGTATGTCCACTAACACATCGTAACATGCTGATATGGACGGATTGTTTCCTGAGAGCTTGACTTTGTGTTCTAAGTGAATCGGTGGTGGAGGTGACAAGTGGTGAGATATCTTCTGAGAGACCATTGTGAATTTCAACTTGTCTTCCCCAAAAACTTTTTGAAGTGCAGCGTCACAGTTGAAGAAAGAGGGGTCATTTGGGTTCTGCAGTTTCCTCGCCTTAACGTAATGCCAAATTGCAGCAATGATTCTTGGCCTGGTATCAACCTCAATCCCGAGAACATCCATCAATGCAGCAGAAAGCTTGAATTTCTCGGGGACATAGTTCATCTCCAACCGTATACTAGCTGCAAATTCCTGATTCCCTTTCCTCTTTATCTCAAACCCTTCCTGAGGAGTAGGTGATCGAGCATTCTCCCATATGATCAATGGGTTCTCCGGATACAGCCTCTGATCCAGGGAAACCGTTACCCTTTTGAAGAAAGACGAGAATTTGGGATGCAATGGGTTTGATTTCTGAACAAATCCTGGCTGGTCAGGATCGACCCCATCTTCCAGGATCCTACCAATAATTTTAAGAGTCCAAGTTGGCGGGTCAGCATTTGGATTCCCAGGAATCGTGTTGTTTTGGTTAGCAAACGTGTTGAAAACGTAGATTCTAAGCGTCTTCTGAATGCAAGGAGGGTTTTTCAGGGCCTCCTGGATGTCAACTTTCTTTCTAGTTAATGCAGCATCCACCCGAGACTCAAACTCCAGAAGTTGTGTGTATAAGGCAGACTCAGGCAAAATCGCTGCCACACGCTCTTGCAAAGACTTTTCCGGAAGCTTCTGTTTCTTTTTCCGTGCAGCAGGAGTTAACTCCATTGTTCTCATAGGGGAGATAGTGTTGTTAGTCGCAGGGGCACCAGGAGGTCGCATTGGCGGTTTCTGCTGGAACCTCTTCATATTTAAACTTCCAGGAGTTGTCATAGAAGGCGAAGATGGACCTAAACCACCAATCCCCGAGGCACCTTGAGTTTGGTTCATCGTCATGC